GTAGATTTTTTTTTTCTCCCACAAAAGAGAAAGGGAACACAACCCAAGATTTCTTTTGTCAGGAAGAAAATAATTTGGGTAATATCTTTCAGTAGGTTAAGATATTGCTTTTTTTTGTTATTCTGAGTCTAAGCTCAAGTGAGGGCAAGTGAAGAGGAAAATGCAGAGAAAAAGTGTCTTCAAAGCCAAAACCTGAGATGTCACTAACTGTAGTCACTGGTATTTTTTTAAGGCTTTGGACTTTGCACAGGTGAGTCATTTAATTGTGTGTTAAATCTTGGAGTGCTGTTCCTCTGTCTGGGTATACCTTCGACATGAAACCACAAGTTTTTACCTCACAGGTAATTTTTGTCTCCATTAGTATGGCTTTTTGTGTTAAGGAAAATCCATCCAATGTTTTTTTCAGGGCATAGATGTTTCAATGTCATCTAATCTGCTGCACTGTTGAATTTAACACTTCCAGCAAATCTTGATAAAAATAGAGGGGAGAAGTGTTTCCAGTTAATGTACATCTGTCAATGTCCTCTTATGGAACTCTTATGTCATTCTGAGCACCTTCTAAACATCTGAAACTCTAGCTTGCTTTTGAAACAGTATCTAAGGCTTTTAATAAAATTATTCTTTTCTCCTCCAAGCCTTAGGATGACAGTCCATAGATGTGATTGTATCCAAAGACTCGGGCATTTGGGGCCTTTCTGATTTTTTCTGTGCCAGGGGATCAGCAGATACAGCTTTTTGAGCGAAGACATGGGTCAGATGTTGTAGCTTGGCACTGATACTGAAATGATGCAGAGGAAAGAATCTGAGAGAAGATTTGTATGAACAGACTGCAAACATTAATGATGAATACTTCACTATGCCTAACTTTGAAGAGAGATATATTTGAACTAGAACCAAAGTTATTTAAGCCAAGGTGCGTCCTCGATGATGAATAGCCTTTGGCATCTTTACACCATCAACAAATCTGCTTCATGTTTTCTTTCCCTGTGGACACTACATTTCTCTTCCCTTTCCTAGGTAGACCTATGAAAGCCACAGGAGTTGAAGGAAAAGAAGATTAAAAAAAAAGATGCATTGTAATAAAGAATCTCTATAGAATAGACTTGACAGGTTTACTCAGCAATATTAGCTTAAATGTATAGATCCGAGAGACAAATCTGCTACAAAGTTCATCTTTGATGTGAATTCAGTGTGCTTTTATTATTAAAAGTTCTTAAGAGAAAGATTATTTTTATGGTCCCTTCCAACCCAAACCATTCTATGATTCTATGACAGTTTCAAATGTCATTTTTCAGTCATTAGTCTTTTTTAAATAACAGAACGCAACTGAAAAAAGTGAAAATTACCAAGCTTTGACCAATTTGTCTTCCTTAGTCCCACTTACCGTTTGCAATTTCATTGTACCTTATTAGCTTGTTTCAATTCTAGTCTGATTATGAGTTGTAACTATATATGTATATACACATAGATGTGTGTGTCTGTGTACATATACATAAATATACATATGCAAGACATTCTAAAGATATTATCTTACTATAAATATTATATACAAGTTGAACACTTATTTTGTTGTTTAAGCTACTTTATGATGCTATTGAAAGTGGGATTCGTCTAGTCAAAACCAGACATTTTAATGTTAGCTATGTAATCATTGTGTTATCTATAGTCAAAGAAGTAAGATCCATCAAAGCAATTCAGCTCGCCTTAAGATAGATGCTTAGGATAGAGCAGATGAATAACCAGGGAAGATAAAGAGAATCATGGTTGCCTGACAGAGACATAGGAATCTAACTTTTACACATCAAAATTTATTTGTTATGAATCCCAGTCTCAGTTACTCACTTTTTCTGCTTATCTCATTGACTCTGGAATACAAGACATGAAAACTGCTGAGAGATACTACTCTCTAAATGTCACTGGGGTCAGTCCCTCCTGCCTTCAGATTGCCAAAAACCCTATTTCCACTGTCCATACAGACTGTGATCAAACCCAAATGGTCTTCTACCGGCAACACCCTGCATCTAACTGTTCCGTAGTCTTCTCCATGTCTTTCCCATTCTTTTCTTGAGCCTGAGGTTACAAAGCACCTCACTGGAGATAGACTTACAGTCTTATCAGAGCTGATTTTATACATAACAAGCTTTCAAGTGATAGAAAATAATTCGCAATTTCAAGTTGCGAGACAGTGGAAGCCAGTCAATGATTTTACGATCCTTGTGATTCAATGATCAATTAGGTAGTTTATATGTGCATTTCTTGCTTTGTACAAATAACTCTTGCAAGCTTCACCAAAATTTAGTTCCATTTTATGATTCTATCACCTTATATGTTGTACAATTCATAGTCAGCTTAAGGCATTCTCAAAAATGTTTCTCAGATATTACAAATATCAACTCAATATGGGCATTCATTATTATGGCTGCCTTTTATAAATATTGAATCTCTTTTACAGAAGGGGTCATAAATAAAAAATCAGAATGCAATAAACATCAACCCACAAAAAAATCCGCTTTTTACCCTATGTGTCAGCATGTCTCTGCTCCTTTTTCTTTCTCCAGGAACCCTCTCAGCTAAGCAGAATGTGAATAATTGTCAATATTTTTATTTGAAGTACAATTTTGATGAGATTCCTATGAGGTTTTTTTAATTTAGGTCGGACAGTTTACATTATCCTTTGCTTTTAAAAAAACCCACCCAAGCTATATGTGAGCGGCAAAGAGCTTATACTTGAGCCACATATTTTACATTCAAATTAATTCAAAATAATGAATGTTATGAAGAAGTGCTAGCTTAATACTGAAGACATTAAAATCTATACAAAAGTATGTTTTAGACTTCATGGTGCAGAATGACTGGATTTATCATTGCTAGAAACTCAAGTACACCTAGCGTTGGGCTCAAACAGCCTCCAACTTGTCAAACTTGAATTCAATTTTTACAGTTAAACAACTCTGCAAATATTTTTTATGTCATAATCTTGGAGGTCAGAACACTTATGCATTAGACAATGAAAGAATCATAGAATCATATAATGTATTGGGTTAGAAGGGACCTTCAAAGCTCATCCAGTCCAACTCTTGTGCAGTAAGCTGGGACAATGTTACCTGATCAGGTTGCTCAGAGCCTCATCAAGCCTGACCTTGAATATGTCAAGGGATGGGGCTTCCACTACCTCTCTGGGTAGCGTTCACTGTTCCAGTGATCTACCACCATCATATTTTTCCTAATATCCAACCTAAATCTACCCTTTTCTAGTTTAAAACCATTACTCCTCATCCTATTGCTGCATGCCCTTGTGAACAGCTCTTCCATATTGTTGGATCCATTGGATACTTCAGCAATGTTCAATGAAAGTTAGTAAGTAAAGCCGTTTCCCACATACTGAACTTAAATACCATCACTTTCAGTTTTCTTCTTTTTCCTTCACTTCCCATGTCCTTCTTCAGCATGTCAAACCACTTGGCTTTCCTCCTACTCAGTGTTATGTGCTGACTACACAATCCTCTGCAGGGAGCTGCTGGTCTCAGTTGAGGTGCTCAGTTTTTTTGCTCACGAATGTCTTCTTGCCTAAAGGCTGCAAACTTTTCCTTACACAGCCTATCAGTTCCCTTTTAAAACAGCATCCACTTCAGCACATTAATAATCCTCCTCCTCTCACCCTTCTTATCAGTTTGTCTTCATGTGCCATTGTGACTTAATCACTCACCTCAGTAAGTCATTCAGCATGTATTTGGGCCAGCATGTCGGGGGGAATAGCTGTCATCACCCTACACTTGCACCAAGCATGCTTCACAGCCCTCCCACCACCTGCACTCACAGCAGCTCATTCCTGAACTGAGGTATCCAAATTGCATTACCAATTTTACTGCCTAATTTTATTGATTTCTCATGGCCCTACATACACATAAACTGATATATACTGGCTGTCCTTCTTAAATATCTTTTCCTAATTCAGTCCTCCATTTTTCCATGCTGAATTCCAGTTTCTCACTTTCATTGCTTCTCAACATTCAGTATAAGCATACTTCAGGAGCATTTCCTCTACTGAGTCAATACTTTTTGCAAGAGTATATGGTCAAGGAAGATCTTGCATAAGCCAGCTGCTTCTCTTTGCTGCTGTGCCACTCTCAGGCAAACTCTTGTAATTCATAGCCAGTAATTTCCACAACCATAGGCATTTCCATGTCCTCTACAAGGATATCTTCACTAGAGATCACAAATACAAAATGCACTTTGTTTTGTGACTTTATTTTCTTGAACTACATGTAGAAGATACTCTCAGTAATCTTTCTAGCACAGGCCAGAATCATTATTTATTTGATATTCTAGATCACCTATAAAATATTTGTTTGAGACTCTCCAGTCTTTTCTTTGTGTTACTACTCACTCGGTGGTTTAATAAATTCATCCTTGCATATTTCCTTCATGTCAAAGAATAAAGCCCCATAGTGTGTTCTGTAGTTCAAGTGTATGCATTATTAGATACTTGCCATGTAAATACAGTGGCACTGGACTACATTTGAGGGGAAATCCACTAGTGTATTATACACACTTTTCTGCAGCAGGTTCAGTCCTGCATGTGTATTTCTCACACATCCCAAATAAAGTCAGCAGCATCCCAGCAGCAGTTGGTTTTTGTTTGGGATTTAGAGAGCCCAGTCTGCTGTGCCAGTCATTTCTGCTTGTTAACTAGGAGGCCACTAGCAATTCTCATGTGTACATGATGTGTACACAGAATAATTTTGAATACTCAGCAAAACACTTTATTCTATAAACCAGTATATCTGAAGTTTTATTGCAAATATTAGATTAAAAGATGATGGGTCTACACTTTTTTCCAATGCTCTTTAAAATTCTTTGATATGTGGAAATGAAACAACAGTCTTATTAACAGTGCTCCACATCTGACAGTGAAACCTTCAGGTTCCAAACTGGTCATTGAGATTTTACTACATTTATGACTGGCAAAGGAAAAAGGTAAAAGAACACACTTTACTTACCCAAGGAGTTTGACTGAATGAGTTTTCCATTTAGATCCTACTTTCTGCAAGTGTCTATAGATTCCCTCTTTGTAAAGGAAAAAATCTTCATACGCTTTCATTATAGCTAAAAAACAGTAGGAAAAATCAGCATGGTCAGCAAATAGTACTTCTGTTCTTGTTCTCTTCTTTCATGTTATTAGTGAGTTTTCTGTTGTGTGTTGGACTATGTAAGCATACTTCCTAATTACACTAAATTCACTGCTCAGAAGTTCCCTATTGTGAGTGAACTGAGGCAATCAACAGAGTTCTCTCAAAGGTCTTTTGTCAAGTTAATTTGGCTTCCCTGTCATGGAAACTCCCTATCATGGACTTCTTCCAAACAGTAAGAAGAAATATTGTCTCATATAGGTTTACATAAATTTTCTCAAGTTCAGTGAAATCCAATTCAATAAAACAATTCTCCTTGGGGTTCATGTATAAAATCCTCAGTTCTGTCAAGTATCTGCATATTCAAGAGAAGTATGTAAGAGGTGTATAACCTGTGAAATATGGTGGAGTGATATGTATGCCTTTTTCTGAAATTCAGATAGAGCTCTTTAAGTACACAGCATTCTCCTTATGGAAAACTTGATTATCTGTGTATATGTTCCTCCTGACTTATGGCTAAAAGTGCAGGAAAAAACCCCAACCTTTGTGTCCATAAAAATGTAAGGCCAAAGAGCTGATGAACTGGAAGTTTTGTGCAAGGGAATGAAGATTACAATTTGCATTTTATGTCTATTCATTTTTTCTTAGGAATGCCATTTACTTGTTTCTTATGAAAAAGAATAAAGAAATTGGGGGTTGTTTTACACATTTGTTCTGCCACATTAGTACGGTAGACGAGGTACTTAGGGATATGGTTTAGGGGGTAGACAGGAGCGGTTGGACGTGATGATCTCAGAGGCCTTTTCCAACCGAGCTATTCTGTGATTCTGTGATTCTGTGATTTACTTTGTTATATGGTGGGCTACTAGGTCCAGAGAAGTGAAAATGTTTTCCAGGTCTACATTACCTTTAGATTCTGGTGAATGAGAAGCATTAGGTACAAGCTTAACTCAAATTTACTTTTAGCTTATGATTTTAACAGTCAGGCTGCCACACACCTTGAAACATGAGAATCAGTGAAATCCAGTTTCTTAAAGTCTTGCACCTTGGGAGTCCCTAAAAGTACAAATTTCACAGACCATTGTTATATGGTTGGAGCATTTATAAGATATGTGCCTGGTATAGATCTGCAGTATCCAGTAAGGTGAGCTCATGCTGCAGTTTTTTCTGTCTGGCACACTTTCAAACTTCTTTTTTCCTTGAAGGAAAGTAACTATATTTACAACCTCTTGGCTTCTATCATACTTGTCTGAAGACAGAAAACATTCACAAATTTTAGGAAATGAAAGAGAACAGCTCAAAACATGGCCATATGAGCCCATTTTCCCAGGAAACGTTACTAAATATACACTTTGCTAATGAGGTCACTCACATGAAAAAATGTATGCCGATAGCAACACATGGGGAATAAGCAGCTATGATGCTACCTGAGTGGCAAGTCTGGGGGAGAGCTATATCAGTTAAATCAGAAAAAAAAAGTTACATGTTTTTAATGAGTTACAGCTTCTGCTGAGCTGCCTGAAGAACCAGAGCTCACACATATTGAGAGCAGGAAAGTGGAAAATAGCACAATCTTTCTTCTTGGTTCCAGCTGCAAGCTTCGGACTCCATTAGAGCTCTCTGCCAAGGTTTCTCCCTTCCCTCTGCCCCACAGTCAGCAGCTTATAGAGCCAGTTTAACTCCTGCGGATGTTCCCATAACGCAATGTAAAACAGCAGCTGTAGAGATTTCTGAGCTGCAGAGAAGCCTGTGGATGGAGAGCTTTAAAGCAGTACAGAGGAAGAGAAAAGGAGAAGACTCCCACTAGCCTCAGTCTAGGTGAGGGTGTCAGAGGAGAAGTGAAAGGGGTGAGTCATTAAAAAAAAATCTGTAGAGACTTTCCTGGATCTTGTTTTGAAATGTTGGCCAAAGGGAGACAAAGAAACAGAGTTGATTGCAAGGACTGCAAAATTCACTTCTCCCTCAGGAGGTCTGAGGTTGGAAGATCTCTCTATCACCAGGCTGAGATAAGAGAAGGTAGTTCTGTTTCTAAATCACATTGTTCTTTGAAATCAATGTCTGTATGTTCAGTTTCAGAAAACACTATATTCTTTATCAGCAACTCTGAATCAAACACATGTTCTTGGCTCTGTGAAGAAATATCATATGTAAATTATTTCCACTGAAATGAAATAGAAAATTTGGAAAGGTATTTCTAGAATAACTTTAGTCTATGTGAGAGAATTTTATCCATGATTACATATTATATCTATTTTCAGTGTATGTGTGTATATACATGTATGTATATATTTGTGTATGTATTTATATTAATTAATATATATATGTATATAGCCTGCAATCAGGAGCTAAATTATGGTACAGTCTTTGGAATTAAGTGGTCTGGGTACATGAAGTGTAGGATCGACAGAAATATGATAACACAATATCAAGCACTGAGATATTTTTATTTATTCAGTGACTTTTTCCTGATATGGCCTGTGACTTGGACAGGATAAGCTGATCACATTCCATCAGTCAACTTTGTTCCCTCTCACATAGAAGAGACTTTGCATTTTCCAAAATGAATGGATTAATTATTAATGAAGCAGAAGAGGTAGCAATTTTCAGAAGGTAGATTGTAGCTCATGCATGAGCTACCTCAGCCATGGTGAGCTGTCAGATCTATGCATATAAATGCTGCAGATTATACGATGCATTCCACTATGGATTCCTCTGTATAAAATTCTTAAATAAAAATTTGTGTCTCTAAGATACAAAGATATAAAAAGCTAAATGTAGTGCTAAAAATGGAACTAAAGTGTAACACTGTACATTAATGTGGCCTAGTGCTTTCTCCAGATCTTTTTCTTGTCTCAGCAATTTAAATGCTCCTTTCTTTCCAAGATCAGGACAGTTAAAATCACAAGTTTTATAGGGTAAAAACTTTGATGTGTTGCCAACAATGTGGTAGCTTTCCTGTTGATTGAGACTGACTAATGTGGCAGAAAGGATTATTTTCCTGACAGATTATTGGGTCATAACCGCATAATTAAAAAATCTCACTATAATAAAAAGAAAACATGGAAAGTGATTTTACTCAGGGATATACACTCTTGGTTATATACTTTTCTTTAGGTCTTGCATTTTCCACAGAGAGCATTACCTTAACCTGATGCAGACATATTCACTGAAAAGGCATTGACATTTCAAAAAGTTGTATCAATTATTGAGTGGTTAAAACCTAACAAATGGCTGAATATATATTATTTTATGTGGAAGATTTAGTACTGACAGATTAATCCAGTAAACTGGGTATACATGGACTACGAATGCAATATTAGAGAGAGGTGTGAAATTTTATCTTAAAAATCCTAATTTTTTCATTTCCTTAAAACTAGTAGAAATAACCGTATTCACTTCTAGATCAAATGCAGCATGGGAAAGAATATTTTCCTTGAGTAAACAAACTTGGGCAGAACAAAGAACACTGATAATATTGATCTGTCTAAGTCTGAGCTTCATATTAATTGCAACTGCCCACATAATGAACTTTAAGAAGTCATTTCAACTCCATGATGTATTGAAATGAATTAAATCTAATAATCAAGACCATTTCAACAATAAATTGGAAGTTATGATAATTCATTATATAATTGAGGGCAGTAGAAATGCAGAAGTCCCTTGAAGTAAAATGCTTTGGTTTTGCATTAGCCATCCATCCAAGAAGGGTGGACATCCTGCACTATGACCTTTCTCCATCATCCTAAATGCCACATCCCTCAATCTCTCCAGTTTCACTGGCCTGGGGTATGAGCAGGAATCTGCTTTTTCAGGTGCTTCCAGCATCATCCATGACTGCAAACAGACAGCATTCAGGCTAAAAAAAACTCTTTTGCAGTCTCTCACTTCCTAATGAAGTCTCTTTATTTGCCTAAGAGGTCAGGGATATAAACTGCAGAAAAATTCAGAAATTATAGCCCTCTACAACGAACAGCAGCATTTGGGCTCTGAAAGAGGAAATTCTGGGAACATTCCAGCCCTGAATGATTTGCTGGAGGCCATGTAGCCCGCAGTATTGCCTTCAGAGGAGAGCAGGCTCAGTGGGTTGGCCTCAGCCAGTGGGGGAACCAGTCACAGTCCTACAGAGCAGAGCTTTGCTAACATTTAGCTTCTCCTACACAGCCCCAAATTGCTATTTCATCAAAGAGCAAATAACTGCCGTGGGAAAAAGATGGCGAAAAGGCACATTTCTAGCACACAATTTTGCATACATTTTCAACAAATCCAACGCAAGGTCATTTTACTCATTATGGACTCTGTTGCAGTATAGTTGTCTTTAGGGATGCTACTTGTCCACCAAACGTCTCTGGAGGAACTACAGCGAATATGTCTGTTTTATTCATTGTGGAATGTAATTTGTGTTTTCTAATATTTTTATAAAAGGACACTGCACACTTTAGTTTATTGAAATAATAATATTAACATCTGCCAAACTTACCATACCTTGCACTGGTCCTTTGTCCATGATTTCTTTCATTATATCAGTTTCCTGAGGGGAGGTGAGAGCAGCAGCAGAGAGGGCAAGGGAAGATAACACATTCTATTAAATAAAACTCATACTAATTTGTTGTTCTGTACACACACACACATATCTATCTATCTATCTAACTAGTATAAATGTATCATTGTATTTTTATTTCTGCTAGAGAATATTTGGTTTGCCGAATGAGCAAAACTGTCAGAAACATTTTTAAGAACCATGAATGCACAGTTATGACTGCATACTTTCTCTTCTGTCTCTGGTTTCTGTAGGACTACAAAGCAGCAGCTTTAAAGAGAGAATGTAAAACTGAGAAACTATAAAGAACTTAAACTCTTCTGAAAATACAAAGGCAATATAAAGGAGAATTCACAGCTCTAGTTTTCAAGTAAAGCGAACATATTTCCATATATCAGATAATTTTAAAACCCCAAAGGAGAACAAAGGGTGAGAAAATAGGTCAAAAGCATGAACTTACTTTTGAAGAGACCCTGTAGTAAGATGCAAACTGGTATAACCGATTGGATTCTTCTAAAGCATTGGGACATGGCCCATTTGTATAGTTTTTTCCATATTCACTTGACACATAACAGCGATTTTCACCTGATGGCTCCAGGTGGTTGTTCCAAAATGATGGATAACAAGCATAGGATACAACCCTGTTCAGATATTTAAAAAAAAATATCAGTAAGAATTTCAGTAAGAAGCTCGCTCAAATATTTTATATGGTTTTATTTCAAGCTTTGAACTGTTTTACAACTGTCATATTTCAAGTAAATGTTCAGAGTCCCTCGTTCTTTAAAAGTGTGAATGTCTCATATCTTCAGTTGGAAGACAATCGCTTCAATTCATATGCATGATGTTTATGATTAAGTTTCAGCTGCAGTAGTCCTCTCTGAGTCCTTCCAAAGACAGGTAGGCTAGAAAATGTGTTTCAGCACTTGTCACTTAGTACATTCATTCCATTAATGAAGCATGAAGGTTCACTCTGAATAAGACCAATAAATTACCAGTGTTGTCAACAGGATCCATTTAGTAAAAATGGCTTGTGAAATGGGTATATTTGCAGCAGAAGATTTTTAGGCGAAATGAAATATTTTCTAGTTTCATCTACATTTTCTACAGGAATGCTGGGGAAAAGATACAGGTTGTTTTATTCCTTTCAGCTAAAATGTCTCTGACCTTCCATTTTCCTGACAATATAGGAAGGAATATTTGCTCACATTTTATGAACATTTGTTAAGATAAAAAGTACTAGATTCATTTTTTTAAGGTTTGAGTACAAATAATTGGTCTTGCTGGCATATGAGTAAATGTGGTACTTTTCAAGAGAGGTATAACCCTTAGTGATTAATACCAATAGCTTAATTGATACTAACAACAAACTTCGGAAGGGAGTGCACCTCCTTAAAAGAGAACTGAACTTCTACTACTAGAAACACATGGGAGAAAAGTACAGGTGAGAACATAGCCTTGAAAGACGCTAAGCACTGAGCTTTCAGTAAGTTCATGTAGTATCCAACCATAGAGCATTTTGCTATTTTCCTGTTACATTCAGGCTATTCCTTCCTTAAAGGAAAGACAAGTTTGTGCCTGCAAGTGAATGTGGACCAAAGGACAAACAGAGGCAAATTTTGTGACTTATAAATACATGGTATCCAGTGTGCACAAAAGGCTGAGCACCATCCCAAGGGCCTCAGACCACAGGGCTCCTTCTGTCAGTTCCTGGTTGTTGATAGCAAGGAGATTCTCAGGGAAACTAAAACAACAAATTCTGCCATGATATCACAGGTGCACATGTCTGATCTCTACAGCTCCTGAAAACATCCTAGCTATTTCTTAGAAAAGCATCCATCTTAAAACATTTTCTAAATGCTGAGAGATTTTTTGCTCATACATATAGCAGTTAAATTTTTTCCTACCACTTATTATAAGTTTGCATTAAAGCTTTCAATTTCAAGATTTTAAGAGTTTATCTACAGAAAATATAAGTTGTTGCTAACTCTTTTAAATTAAAGTATATATTCTACAAATATGTTAATTTAAAAATATTAAGTCCAGTATTCACTGGGCAGTTTCTATTCTAACAAAGATTTTAAAAGCACAGAAATCTGTTTATGAAAAGAATCATGGAGGGGAATGTGCAATAATAAATACGTGACTATATGTTTTGTTTTAAATGAAACAAAGAAAAATCTTTGAATAACAAAGAAAATTTGATCTGTCTGACACTTTCTTAGATGCAGGCTTCAGAGACTTGAAGGTATTTAACATTTAGGTTGTCATAGAAGTGACTATGGAGAAGCTGTGATAAGTTATGTTTTGGATTTGAAAATCTCCAAAGTGTTAAATCAAATAAGCTTTGAAGCAAAGCTTAAGAGCCCTCGTTGCTTCCAAGAATGGAGACGGGCAATGAAAATAAAAGGTGGTTTCAAAGAAAGGTATGGAGGGGTTTTACTTCTTTACCTTGGCAATACCTCAAATGAACTGCTGCTTCATACAGTAACCTTGTTTCTTTCAAGTAGCTTATCATGTATTGCTCAGCTATTTTGAATCTAACTAACTGAATATCCTTTTTACTTCAATAAAGTGAAGGAAATAAATCTTGTATTTAAAAGGCGCTTACTAACAATCTGAAATACTCAATAAAGGCACAGCAAATCTTTCATTTATTATTTTATCCTTTTTATGATATATTGGGACCTCCTAGTTTTCTACATTATACTGCTGGATATTTCCAAAACAGTATACGCATTTCTGTGATAATGCCATGGAGGTTTATGAGGGGGTTTCTTTTAATGAGCATAATTAAATAGTTCACTGAGGCAGAATATTTTAAAATAGGCAGTTTTATAAAAAAGACTTGTATTTGAGTAGCTCACCGATTATGCTGAACTTTCTGAATCTGAAGAACAGAAAACTGTATTTCACGCAATATGAAAGATAATTATGTATGCCTGTGTATACTTAGTTATCAGGAGTTTTAGAAGATGAGCACATATATGCTTCAAACACTTTGAATAAGACATGGCATGTTCCCATTAACATTTGATGGTAGAAAAATTGACCCTGAGGAGAAGGTCTTTTTGCTTACCAAACTCTTTTTGCCCAAACTAGACCAGCATATTCAGGAGCTGCAAAAAGCAGTAATTCTGCCTACCTGAAAAGGGATTGTCCATCTAAGGTTGTTAGGCTGTTATTGTTTAGGTCTTCTATCTACTCACTGCAACCCCTTTTAATCCCTTCTGAATGTCTGAAGGAATTCTGAATTCCCTGATTTCCAATGGGGAACTCACCATTGTGAGTATTAAGGCTAAATACACATAGGTCGTTATTACTAATTTTAAAAATTATTATACTTTATTTCTACTGCTGGGTAGAAACAAATCTTTGGTTTATATATGTATACATATATAATGTTTATAAAATTAATCTATCTACATAATCACTGTAGTCACAACTGTTCACAGATTTCCAAAAGAAATAAAGGATTGCTGCTAGGTGCAGTGAGGACTGCAAGTTAAGTAAGGTGAGTAAACACAGTCCTCAGAGCATGATCGAGCAGGGTAGGAGTCAGTGGTTGCAATCCACTGTAAGAAATGGTATAACACCTATTCCTCAGCTGTACTTAGAAACGCCTCAGAGGGAGACAACAGAGGAGAAATTAATTCCTGGGGCAGGGACTTTTTTCACTGCCTTTCACTTGGATTGTCCTGCTGGAGTTGTCACAGGTTCTGCATGGATGAGTCTTACTTCTATGGCAATAGATGTGAAGTATCAAGTGACACACTGGCAACCTGGAGCTGTGTAGTAATCCAGACATGGTGGTTCATTCTGAACTAACAGTCACTTTTGAATCTTTACACTACATATAGTTTCCGCAGTCATGATTAACATGATTTAATAGCTCTTCGCTGAAACATGAGTTTGCACATTCTGAAACGTCAGCACAACAGTAAGCATTAAAAACATTTCAAGGAGAAGGCCTTGCCAGAAGAGTCACAGAAGAAAAACAGGAATAAATGTGAACATGTTTATGTGCGCATATACATACACATATACAAAAATAATACTAGAAGCAAGTAGCATCCAGGGAGAAGCAGCAAAAGTCTGTGGTGTGTTCATACATTCTTCGCAAAATTCATCTGAAGTCATGTTTATGTGTTCAAAGTAATGAGATTTTCGTGGTTTTATTGTATTTATATATTTGAATTGTGAGATGAGAACATAATCTAAAACATATTAGCAAGTTGGCCAAAACTAATAACCATAGTATCCTTATCCTACCCTGAAACTGCTAAGAGCCCAAGGTACGAAGCAGGTCAAGGCCTGATTAAGAACCATATTTGCATCCAAGTGTATAACCTTTTTACTACCAGAAAATGAAATATTTCTTCTTCATTCTTAAAGACCATAAGCTTTTAATCTCCCTTAGCAGATATAAATAGATGTTTTAAAAACCACATTGATTCCTCCCAAATTATGGCTTGTAACTGAAATGCCTAACATTAATTATCTTCACTCCAACCTGAAGGACAGAAGAACATTCAGTGTAAACTCTCCCCGTAGCGATGCAAGATCCTTGTCAGATTAGGAATAGTTTGGCACACTTGAAAAAAGCAGCATGATCACTTTGTACACAGTGTCAATGTGATTGACAGCGCTTTGGCCTTCACCTGGATCCCCAGGCTGCCATATCAATTATGACATCTGATTCAGACATTTGGCATTCTTTTGCTCTTTCCATTGTTTGTTTGTTTCTTTGTTTCTTTGTTTTTTGACTGAAATGAAAAGTTGACAGACAGCACACCTGAGATCTCTCTGTCTGTCAGTATCAGGTGTATCAAAGACAGAGTAAGGGATGAGAGTGCATGAAAGTGAGAGAGAAAATAGATTTTGGTATGGAACTGTAAGTACAAAAAAATTCCCGATAATGTGAGAAACAGCAAAAAGTAATTATACAGTATATAAAATCTTGTTATTGCAAATTCTCCTGGAAGCCATTTTCAGGCACATGAAGATTAAGGAGTTGAAAAAGAACAGGCAGCACAGATTTGCCATGGCAAATTATGCCTCATGGTGATGAGATGATGAGATGATCTGACCATGATGAAATGACTGGCTCCATGGAGAATAAGAAAAACAGTGGATATCCTTTACCTTGACTTTAGCAATATTTTCAGCATGGTCTCCTATGGTACTCTTCTAGTTTATTGGACTAAATAAGCTGTTTACAAGGTCAGTAACTGAACTGGGCTGGCATGCTGAGAGGTCTACATGTCAAAGTGACTAGTGTCTGTTTACTAGTGGCATTCCTCAGGAGTCAACACAGCAAATACACTGTTTTGCATCACTATAAACAATCTGGACAGTGAGACATAAAGACACCCTCAGTAAATTTGTGGAGGATGCCAAATTGTTGGGGAGTGGTCAGTATGCAGGGCTGCCATCCGGAACAATGGTAACAGGCTAGAGAAATGAGCTGACAGAAACCTCATGAAGTTTAACAAAGGCAGAAGCCAGATCCTTCTCTGAGATGGAATTGGCCATGCAGCTGTACTGGCAGGGCACTGTCTGTGTAGAAAGCAGCTTCACAGAGAGAGGACCTGGGGTCTTGATGAGAAGAAAGTTGAACATGGCTCAGCAGTGGGCCCTCTCAGCAAACATGGACAATTAATACTTGGTTATGTTAGAAAAAGCATGGCCAAGACATTGTAAAAAGTTACTATTGCCCTCAATTTGTCACTTGTGAGGTTACATGTGGAGTACTGTGTTCAGTTATGGGATCCTAGTAGACACTGATAAACTGAGCAAGTCCAGTGGAAGGCACTTAGAAGGCTGAAACATCTGATGTGCAAGGAGGAGTGAGGCAGCTGGATTTGTTCAGCCCAGAGAAAAGAAGGCTAAAAGGAGATCATGACTGTCTTCAACTACATAAGGAGAGGTCATAGAGGAGACTGAACAAGATTCTTCTTGGAGTTGCGCAGCAGAAAGATGAAAGGTACCAGCCACAAGTTGTACCAAGGAAAATGCTGATTATATACGGGAAAAAAATATTTGACCACAAAAGTAGTCAAAGAAAATGACCTGCTGCAAGAAAGGTTGTGGAACTTCCATCCTTAGAGGTATTCAAAATATGACTGGGAACATGGCCTGGGCAGCCTTATCTAACTTCAGAGTTACTTATGCTTTGAGCAGAACGTTGGACTAGATGACCTCCAAAAGGTCACTCCAACCTTAATCATTCTGTCATTCTGTAAATTAAGTGTCTTTTAGAAAGCTTCTAGCTGTTAATGTAGAGTTTGAGAGTTATTAACTTTGCTTAGTCCGACCTGAAGGAAGAAGGATCAAGGTACAGTGTTGCGTTCTGGCACAAGCTTGGGATTGGATGCTTACAATTTGCTTCATAGCAAGGCAATGTTTGATCTTTTTGAGTATTCAAATTGTTGTCTCATGCAACTGCATGCTTACTCAAGGTTGTTTAACATGTTCTTGTTATCCCAAGAACAATAGAAGTTTTGAGTTCAGTTGTGGTATTTTCTTTGACATAAAAAAATCCTGTCTTGTCTTGCTATGAGTAAGGCAACCATTTCACCCAATGGTATTACAGCTAATGACAACATCTAGATGTAATGAGGCTTAAATGGGAGATGAGTGGTTGCTGAGTTTTCTCACTGAGAGCCCTCATTCAAAATAATCTTCACTTATTTCTTTGGAAATGCTTCTTATTTCCTGGGCTTCATGAAGGTGTTTTAGAGAAGGCGTAAATGAGAAAGAGTGATAGTCTCAATGAAGTAATACAGTTAATCTGACCTAGGACAGAGCTAAATGACTCTATTTTGAAAGATCAGAAATCATCATTGTAACACAAACAACTTTGTAACTTAAGCAACAGGTTCAAGTCAAAATAATCTAAACAGATAATACATTTACCCATGTGTTTTCAGATATCTCCAGGCACCATCGATACTTCCACCGTTACATCCATGTTGATTCCTGTTATCACAAGAGATCAAATTCTGAGCGGAAAGGTTGTCTGTGATCTGACCTTCGGAAAGAATCGCTATTCTATCAGCTGCAACACCTGTTTTGAAATAAATTTTCCATTATCAAGAATAAATAATTACTCAATACTTCATGTCGGTTATTGTGAAAGAGGGACTTAAATACAACCTCAATATTTTCTGTCTGTGCAGATATCTACAAATCTGAACAATATATGTAATATATATAGCTTATATAGATATAGTAATGCAAATATATGTAATTATATATAATTATATAGGTTATATTGATATAATCTGTACAGACTTTTGAGAGAGAGGATCATGAAACAGTAAAGCATCATGAGCAACTTTTTTGTGATATTATAAATCCATAGATTTACTGGTTATTATAAATTCCCATATATCTAAACTTCAGATGAGGCATTTGTATAATTTAATCTGATAGTCTCTGCCACAATTGTAAATGCATATTTATCTCTGGTTAACTTCAGCAGAAGATCCAAAATCTCCCCCATCTCTCTGTAGTTGAATCTGCTTTTCTTTCTTTTCTACACTTTCTTCCTTTATTTGAGAAAAAAAGAAAAGCAAAAATTAACGGTCCTATGAAGAATAAAATTATGACTGAAAGTATGTATTGGTTTTACTGGAAATAATATTTGGAAATGCTCATATTAATATGTAAATGTGGGATTCATTAAACCTCCTTCCCTTATCACACAAAATTATTCTTTTTGAGGTAGACACTTTGCATGTCTGAACTCAATCAGATAGTCATAATTCTAAGTACTATTATATTTATGCACTGATTTAATGGTAGACTGTTAACTAAGTTGTAGGTGAAATTAAGCCACCTCTTTCTTTAATGAGTGATAATGAAACAATTATTAAACCCCAATCCCAGTCATTACCTGTGCTTAAATTATACTTTTATTTTTGTTAGCCTTTCATTTTTGACCCTGAAAATAATAATAATTAAAAAATCCCTTGAAATCTAAATCCCATCAAAATCAACACTAACTTCAGTGAACTTTGAGCAAGACATCAGAAAAGAGAATCTGCTGATGACAGCTGACAATGACTGTGTTTTGCGCTTTTGTGAAGTTTCACATGATAATTTATTTATTTTCACAGGCGTAAAAGCTTTTTACTGAAGAGTTTTGAATACAAGAATTACTCATGATAAGAAAAAATGATACAGTAGTACTTGTCTATGCATTGAGCAACAATTAATCTTAAAAAGCAGGTTTAAAAATTCAGATTTAAAATGTTAGATACACCCAAACAACATGGGGAGGCATCCCATAACATTTAGCATCAAGCATAATTATGTGAATTAAAATCAGAAGATTCACTTCTGGAAGGGAAAATTGAGACTGAATATCTGGAAAGTCTTTCCCTCAGTGAGCTCTCTTCATCTCTGCAGTAACCTGTCAGGAGAGCTGTTAGCAGCTCTTTTGGTTTTCTCTTTTAAAGCTACACTGGACAAGACATATTGGTAACAGAGTGTGTTCAGCCTGGCTTTGGCAGGAAGCTGGGGTTAACTGACCTCCTTTCCTTCTCTTACTACTGTGATTTAAAGAAGCAGTTGCAGAAACCTGGACCCATGAGAACCCACTGGCCAGATCAAGTCATAAAGATTGATTGCATAATTTTTTTCTGTATCTTTATATATCCCAATATGAAATGAGATTTATTGCAGCATAAGAAAAATGAACATAAATGATCTCTGTAGCTTCTTTGGAGAAAGTGACAGAAACATTTGTGTCCATTTTTCATAAAACCAGAGGTTATAACATATGAAGTTGAATTGTTTTATTGACATTTCTTTGCTTACGGAATTTGAAAATAGTTTCTTCCACAAATAAATGAGCAGCTTCAGCATTTTTTTCTCATAAAAATATTGAAAAGATTATACTTAATTTACCTGAATAGCAAGGGTTGGAAAATGGCCAATGCACATATATAAAAAGACATAAATCTACCTGATTTAAGCTTTTGAGTCAAGCATGTAGTTGTGCAAGCAAGGGATGCAGATTTTGAAATTTCCAGTATCAGTTACAATAAAGTGCATTAGACAATTCATCTTCTACTTTCTGCACCAAAAGGTCTCTCTATGTAATATAAACTTTTGAAAAGCAAACAAAGGTCTACAGCTTAGATTGTCTTGTTAAGACTTTTAGACAACTTAGAATGAATGCTGTAGCAATTTTAAGTGTTCCTTGTTTGCAAGCTGTAATTACTTCATTATTAATCACTACAAATTTTTTTCAAACATCTAACATCAATGATATTCTTAAAAGGAGAAAAAAAAAGAATATTACTTGCAGTTGAAAAAGCCCAGGATGCTCCACAGTTTCGTTGATCCAGAGGATCATGAATCCACTCAGGCCATGCATAAGTGGCTGCAAAAAATTCAGGAAATTTTTCTTCTGGAAGAGAGTTTCCCTAAAACAAAATGTAGGATATCTGTATATGCTTTAATTCCTATTTTTGTCTTAAATTTTACCTTTATTTTTTTTTTAAATTCTTAGTTTTTAAATTGAGGAAACCTAAAGCTTTGGCACTTGTGGCTTCCCAGGCCTCCTTTTGTTGGTTACCCTGTGGCTGGATGCTGTGGACCCCCTGAGAGCAGGGGGGTTCTGGCACTCCAGTAGCTGAGCTGTGAAGCTGAGCTCCACAACTGTCAGTCTGAATAACCTCTCCAGTTTCTCTTTGATTTTTTCCTCAAACAACAATTCCCTATCAAACATGTTAACTGTGACCCACTTGGCATTTTCAGAAAGAAAAGCCTTCTGCTACAAATAGCAGTGAAGTTACTGCTACACTATTTTCCTTGACACGTGGCTGTAGGTAGGAAATTTTAGTTTCCATGGGGGAGGCATCAGTATAGAGTATCATTGATTTGTCTTTTATACAGAGGTTTTTCTATCTCCAGCACTTATTTTCATTCCATAACAAAAATCAGTGACCTTCTTTCTGCTTTGCAAGCTGATGTTGAGTTGATGCAAATTCACGGTCTGCTCACTGAAGCCATTTGGACAGCCATTTTTGGCACTTTCATCTCAGCCTTAATTTATGTCCTCCAAGCTTTGCACAAATATCCACATATGCAAGAACCATCTGTTACAACTGCTAATCTGCTCTGTGTTGAACATATCAAAATCAGTGACCTATCTTTTTTTACTGTTGAACTTTATGTCATGATTGTTTATGCTTTGCA